GTGAGTTGGAAATGTATAAGACATTTGATAGAGCTAATATAAACACGATTTATATGTTATATAACTATGTTAAACAACTAATTAAATGATAATTGTGATAAATTATTAATATAATTCTATAGATTAATAAATAGAAAAAATCAAAGTTGTTAAAATAATAATATATGTGATGTTAATATGCGTNTTGAATTATTATGGGAACACTAACAGTAATATGAGAAATTTGCTCCAAGTTGCAAACTCAGGCAGTGAGGACCATTTAGCCACCTCCCAAGATTTTAGTTAAGAAAATAAAGTGAGTTAAACTATAGTACTTCAAGGCAAGTCTATTAATCCTACAATCATTTTTATAGCATGTAATAATTAAAGTATATACAGTAGTTGTTCTAATCATCAACATAATTACAAAAATAATCTCTAATGATTACTATTACATAAATGCATAAAATATAAATAATTTTGTCACATTTACATTTTTTTTCTTAAAAACTAACCCATCCATAATTATCTTTTCCATCTTTAATTAAAAAAAAAAAAAAATTAAAGTTGTTAAAATAATAATATATGTGATGTTAATATGCGTTTTTAAAAACGCCCTTGTAACAGGCGAAAGCCTTCTACGCAAATAAATAATTTCAATTTCAATATAATTTTTTTTTATGAGAACAATACAAAAACCATTGGTTAAATATTTGAAAACAAGTTTTAATAATTAAGAATTTTGAGTGTTGAAAAGTTATACTGAATTGATCGCTTGTTATAAATCTGTAACATGTTTTTATGAATTCGTATTTGTGTCTTAATATCTTGCTGTTTTCCTTCTATTCCTAATTTCAAACCGAATAATTACATTAAAAAAGAATTGTTTTTTATAATTTAATTAAAATACACAATTTTACACACTGGATAAATGGCTTTACACTTAGAATTTAAATTACAATATGTTCTTATGTAACAATTTTTTTTAGCAGATCCTTGCTTATTTACTTATTTATTAAAAGTAATAAAGGGTAAATTTAAAAAGTATTTTAAAAATTGCATTTTTATTTAAGTTTTTTAATAGTAAAAAAATTAATAAAGCATTTTTTAAAATTAAATTTCTGATTAAATTGGTAAAAGTTCTATAATAAATTTAACATTTTTAAATAAAAATTACAAAATACAATGTAATCATTTTAAATTTTATTAATGTATAAAATTCATTGTTAAAGGTTAATAAGTAATTTTTTGCCGTTTAACATAAATTACACGAGACATTTTTATTCATTTTAATCAGATAAGCTATATTCTAAATATTATAATAAGTTTTTCCATTATTAATTAATATGTTACACATTATAATTATATTTAATTTTAATTGCAAAATTTTTCTACGGTTTTTTTTTCTTAAGGAAATTATTTTATTAGCTAAATTATAGAAAAATATTTTATGGCTAGAGTCATTCATTATTCAGTATTTCACAAATGAAATCATAATATTTAGTTTTTATAAAAATTAAGAATAAAACATTTTATATTGTTTTATTTTGTATTGAAATTTCTATTGAAAAAGTTCTAGTGGAAAGTAAATTATCAAAAAGTTAAAATTGCAGAAAGAATTTTAAAATCTTTAAAATTTATATAATTAATTTTTAACTTAATAATAATAGAAATTTTAAAAATCATAGTTTAAAGAGTTTATAGTTAAGTTATAGTTTCAATAATGACAAAAATAAGACTTAAGTAGTAAACCCGAATTCAAAATAATTATACATACTCGAATATTATATCGTTTCTATGCATGTATCAAAATAACTTGGTTTCTTTTTCCTGTAATATTATAGCCTAAATAATAAACAATTCTTTTCATTATACACATTGTCTGATTAGAACTATTCTAAAGAATAGGATCTAATTTGTAAAATTAGCATCAATTAAAGATTTATTATAGGCCTAAATAATAATTAAATAAAATAGTTTTTAAAAATTTATTTTGGACAGAAAATAGTTAATTAAATAAAATAAGTTTTGATATATATTAAGAATATATTATAATTCTTGATATATGTATAGGCCTATTAATTTACTAATAAGAAATATTAGTTATTGAATAAACATATTTTTGTTGTTTATAATTATAAATTAGTCTAGTGTTATTAAATATGATGCTGTTTATAAGTCAATTAAAGAAAAGCATATGCTATTAACATAAAAATTTGTTAATTTTCTAATTTTATTTTGATTTTATGCTTGAACTAAAGCCTTTAATTTTATTTATTTTTAAATTTAATTTTATAATATATTAATTTATTCGGTAGATCATGATATATTTTGATTTTATATCAGATATATTTGAATTTTTTAATTACATATTAAAATTAAATCTATCCATATATTGAACAAATGTATTTCTTTCCATATAACTTATTTTAACATATAAAGTTGTATACTTTACAATAATATAAAATTCAGAAGTTTTTAATTATTTTTTCATAAATTAATGTATAACTTACCCAAATGCAGTTTTATAAATATTAAATTTAAAATTCTGAAAGTTGAGTAACATTTTAAACTGGAATTAATCTACAGTTTGTACAGTATTAGCGTAGGCCTACAGACTAATCGTTTGTTTAATTAAAATATAATAATTTATACTATTATAGTTACAATATTTGTGATTACTCAGGATTATACTATTATATTTGTATACAGAATGTCATAAACCGACTTTTACATAGGATAAATCTATATATATATATATCTGAGTTAGCTTCAAACTTTCAAATACAGTACATGTATTCTATAAATGCCTGTACTGTATCTTAATTAATAACTAGGTCTTCATGAGCTGATATCACAGTATATCGGAATGCTTTTTTTTAATTCTAGTAAGAAATTTGTCAAATAATTGTTTTTAATTCTTTATATATCTGTAATTTAAATAACCGTTAACGTTGTTTCATGTATAATAGAATATCAAAAGTCTCTGATATTTAAACTATGTCAAATATAGATTTCAATTACAATATATTGCATATTAAAATATAAATATACGGAATATTTTATTTTAAACTGTTTTAAGCTTTCCAGCAAATTATTTTATAAATTAATTTTGTTTTATAAATATATTTTTAGATCTATTTTATAAAATAAATAACATAAATATAAGTACAGAAATAAGTAAGATATTAAATGTTTTTAAGTTAAAAGTAGAAATAGTATCTTAAACTTGTTATAAATGTTAGTTTTACTAACTTTTAAAAGAAAATAGGTTAATGAAAATTGTAAATAAACTATAAAAATCTTATAAAGAATTGATACTATAGTTTATTTATGGTTTATATTTATTATTTCAACAATAAACAGTTTTTATTATACTGTATATTAATACTTTTTAAAAGTAATGTACAAATATTAGAAATCTTGATCTGAAATCTATATAATCGATAACTCAATACACTTAAACAAACCTTGTAAAATCTATTGTAACTGTTTCATACGATGCCAACTATTAAACCATTAATCAGTTAAATCTATATTAAGAAACTTCTGACAGATTTTTCAATATATAAACGTAAAAATATCACCCTAAAACGACTTTATTAATTAAATATTTTGAAAATTTAGGAAGAAAGAAAGTCAATTGTCTTTGAATGACAACTGAATTTTTCTTTCTGAGATCATGCCAAATTATTTTTTATGATATCTTTATATCGTAGATAAATAATTTTTATACTTTTTATAATTCTTTTAAGTTTTTTTTTCACATTTACTATTTTTTTTATAATTTAATTATTTTTTTAATTTAAATAATTTATTATAAGAGGTAGTATGATAATCCACGCGTCAATTCTGTTTTTATTTTCTTGCAAGATTAAAATTAAAGTTAAAACAATTTAATTAAACATTAAAGCTTTTAATTTTTTACTTATAATATATGTTATATAACTGAATTTATTACAGTTAATCCGGCAGGAATAGTGTAATTCTTTATTATCGAAAAATCTTAAAATTGGAAAATATCCAACATTAAAAAGGAGAGATAATATTTATTTTTTATATTTTTATATAAATTATGAATTAAATTTAACATGTAACATTATGAATCAAAGTATAATATTTCATACAATAATTTGAATTTTTAACCAGAAATTAATTAGAAAATGTATCATTATATTTCTTTAAATTAGAAATTAATCAATTAAAAAAGATTTCGAAAAGTTTTAATACAGTACATTCAATATTTTTTTCTTTCACAGTTTATATAACATAAATAAGACAACGATAAGATTAGCATTGTTTCTAGCTGAAGTTTGTTAGTGATTTCCAAATAAAAGAGTTTTGTCATGTTTTCTTTGACTTTTTGGACTAAGTTTAACCTACATAATTGCTTTTGTCATACTGCCGTACAAACTTCACTTCTATTCAGTTGTCACTTCCTTTTTTCCTTTTTGTTTTATTTAGAGAAAGACAGTTTTTATTCTGTTTTGTATTCATCTTACGAAATGGCTTTAAACGGTATGAAAGTTATTGGAGTAATCTAAGTCACAGAATTAATTTATTTTTCAAATAAGCTTAAATTAGATTTAAAGAACGTGTATTATTTTAATTAAAAAATAAAACTAAAAATTATTTTCAGAATGTAGAATAAGTTCCTTAAAAAATTAGTTATTTAAATATTTTCACATTTTTATCTCGCTTATAATATTAAGCATTTCCAAATTTTTTTTTAAAAAATTAATCAATAAAGAAATTATGACTTTTTATAAAAATTAAAGATACAATGGGTTTTGATTGATTAAAAGGAATAAATCAAGCTTGTTTTGGCCGGTTTTTGCATTTATTTTTATAATTTTTAAAATAAAATGCTAATGATTGAATTTGTAAATGTATTACCGATCATGTTTTAAGTAGTTAAGCGAAATAAAAATCGTTTTCTTCTTTTCAGATAGCATATGATATAAGCTATCTTACATAAAGTCTTTCCAGGATGGAAAAACAGCTAAACCTACTCCCTATCTTCTTGCTGTCATTTGACAAATCTTCATCTGGCACAGGAGTTCCAGGTCATTAGGTAAGAGATGTGTAAGAGGATGACACCAAAGACACTTCCAGGAGGATCTGGACGAAGAGAGGGAGAGAAGAACCGGATGTTAAAAAAGAACCACCGCTACAACACATAAAATATTAAAGAAATACCATAAAAGTGATTACTTTCATAGGCTTCGATGTTACGAATTCTAACTTTTTTTCCCCCTTCATTTAAGAAACGTAATTTTATTGATCAGACGTTTTTCAGTTTAGAACATAGGCAATTTTCAAAATTAAATTATTATTTTTCCATTGACAGGTGTAAGCATAAATTTGACTTAACACCTTTATTTATACGAATTTAAGACAATAAGGCATCTGGAAGCAACCATTATTGATGTTCAATACGAGCCAAGTATACTCCTTTGCGCGATTGGTCGAAGCGATAGCAGTAGGTGTTGCCTAAATGCAGTGCCCACCTACTAGGTCTTATCCCACTAGCACATCGATCATAGCGTAAAGACACTGCTGCGGGGTGTTGGCTGCGTTCGAGTAGTCGGAGTAGTCCAGTGAAGAGGGTAGCGGAGAGACTATTTCCGCGATGAGTTGTGCAGAAATAATGTATCAGCCGTACTCGCCGTACTTTCCGTATCAGAGGCCGGCGGCTGCAGCGGTGGCTGCTGCCGCCTCGACTCCTACAGCAGCAACTAGTCCCGTCACCTTAACGGCGGCACCTCCTCCCATACCACAGACTCAACTGTCTAAAGTAAGTATTCTTTCCGTAGCTCCAAAAATGCGAACAAAATAAATAAAAGTACCGAAATGCCAAACCGATACGATGTATTTAATATCGAGACGTGTTTCGTTTCAGAAATTTGGAATGCCCAAAACAAACGATGTTCTGGAACACGCTGCCGCTTCTACAGCTGCCGCTAGCGGAAGCGACTATAGCACAACAGCAGCAAGAGCCACCGGCGATTGTGCTGTAGGCCATGCTGCTACCGACGCGGAGAAGAGCAGAGTAGCCTCAGGAACTGCCGATGCCCAATATCTATCGGCCAATTGCGTTGTCTTTACATACTACACTGGTGATTTAGCATCGGTTGTAGACGAACATTTTAGTCGAGCTTTAAGTCAACCCAGCAGCTACTCCCCCGACACAGACAGAGGATCGGTGATGAAAGGTGAGCATATATTTCTTGGCCCATAGGCCGGCCCACTTTCTTCCATTAGGCTTAATGTCTTAACGTAAACAAACAAGTTTCTCCTATTATAATAAATCTTGTCTACTATTTACATGTGGCAAATAAATGGTATTTATCATATCGGATTATTTAAAGGTCAACTACTCCCATAAATATGAAAAAAATTATTTATTTATTTTTACACTAAATAATAGTAATATTTTTAGTTCAAAAATATTTATAAAATTGTCATTAAATCTTATTTCAAATAAATCATTTCAATGTTACATTTACGATTATAAACAATTATAATTATCTTATTTTCTTCTTATTCTCCGGGCAATATTACAGTATATTGGTCTTAGTAATCTAATCCCATTTGTTAATAATTAATCATTCTTACATTTCTAAATGTAATTTTGAGAATAAAAGAAAATATCATATATCAACGAATATGACACAGCAGAATAGAATTGATATAATGACAAATAAAATAATAAAGTATTATCTGAACCTAATTGATATACACGTAATTAATAATGAAATTAGATTGTATAATTGAATTATTTAAATAATTTTTATAATAATTCAAAATCCACGCAAACATGAATTAAATAATAATCAGGTCAATGATTGCTGAATAACCATTTACCTAAATATGAGTATATTGAAAAAGCCTCGTAATCATGATCTAGATTTTCTACGATTAATCAATAAATTTTATAAACCGAAGTATAACCGATGAGTGTTCTATATTTATTGTCATCTCTTGGTTTAATATATTCAATTGCTTTATAAATTATTAACTTTTTTCTTTGTTGCTTTATTTTTATTTACAAATTATGCATAGTTTAAATTCGTTTTTTATCCTATTAAATAGGGATTAAAAAGTGTTTTGCTATTTAAATCAATTTAGTAGTAGTAAGTAAGCATCGTAAGTTTGCATGATCTAGATTTATAGTTGGGTCTATATAAGAACACATGTTTCTCGCTAAGTTACATAAACATGAGTACAAATAGAACTAGAAAAACAATAGAACTTTAATCATCTTCGGTTGTAGCTCTATACAAGAACTATTCAATGTGGCTTAATCTGTCACATTACGTAATTTCAAAACAAATTATTTTAAAATATTATACATTTATTTATGTCATTTATATTAAGAATATTTTTTACAACTTGAAAAAAATAAATTCAATTTCCATAAAATATAAAATATCAATAAAATTAATAAATTCTATGAATGAATTAAATAATTTAAAATATCTTGTAATCTTTATTATAAATAATTCACTGTAATGCATTAAAATTGAAACTTTTCATATATTAAATCTTAAAATATGAAGCTTATTCGGAAAAGTGAATAATTAATATAAGTTATTTACAGAGAATTAAGTTTCATTACTTATTAAAAAGAATTTAAAATTGTTATTTTAGTTTAAACTTTTAAGTAAGTCAAATAAAAGCATCGGACTAAGTTAAAATGATAATCCAAAGAAATAATTGAAAAAGTCTGGTCTAAAGTTTAGCTTTTCAGTCAAAAATAAATACTTTTGTACGAACAACATATTACAAAAGTAAACTTGTGGTGCATATAAATACATGCAAATCATTTAAATATTAAAAAAAAAAAAAAAGATAATTAACATGAAATATGATTTCTTTGAAATAATCTTGTTTTTAAAATTATCTTACTTAAAAGTTATTAAAGCAAATTAAATGTATATTAAAATCAATTAATTATCTTCATTTTTATAGGCCTATCATTAATTTTGAATATGATTTACTATAACATTATTTAGGCTAAGTTAAACAAGCACTATTAACAATTAATATATATAAATTATCAATGCCTAGTTATAGTTTATCTCGTAATAAAACATGTAAAATCGGGTAATTTTCAGTGATTACTTTCTTGTTAACTTAGTATTTAAATACTGGTCTACTAAATATTTTATTATTTCCTTAAATCAATATAATCAAAAACTCAGTATCTTCAATGTAGGCTATATATTTATACTACTCTCTATTTGTAATACTCATTCAAAGAAATTTGACTACATTAAATTTGATACTTGTAATTTAAGATTTATTAGAAGAAACGTTTATGATTAGATATTAATATTAAAATTTATTAACTTAACGAAATTATTTCTAAAATTCCAATATTTAATAATGCAAGATTGTCATTGGAATGCATGCTCTTATAAGTCTTTCTTTTATTTGTTATTGGTCTGGATCTTTTTGAGGAAGACAAAGACGAATTGACTATGTTAAAGACTTAACTCATTCTTGTAATGCGCAAAACTTGAAGGTTAACAAAATGCTTTAGGCCATAGATTATAATTCTTAGTTATAACATAAAATTTTAATTGAGTTTGAAAAATTTTTAAATTTGCAAAGATATTTTTAATTATAATCAAATTTTTTCATAAAAGAAACCAAGTTTTTAAGTTTCTACAACTAAGGGAGAGAAATTATATGCAAATATAAAATAACCCTTTATTATTTAGTATTACTCTTAACCAACAGATGGCGATAATATATTAATAATTTTTTATGCAATATTTTCTATTAATAAGACTTAACTTAAGATCTTTTTAAAATATATTCTTGACGTTATAACTTAAATAAACGTTTATAACAAAAAACCCGGGAACATCTTATTTGTTTTAAAAACACTAAAATGAAATTTACATAATTAAACTGTAGAATAAATCAATACCTCTACAAATAATGTGAACTACAAATTACAATATAATACAAGCTATAATAATTTAACAGGATAATCAATAGAATTATTAAACTTATTTAGGTCATATCAATTAGCATATTTAATAAATTAGGATAGATTTTTATGTGTTCATTATCAATATGCTTATTAGTTATTTAAAAGCATTATCCAGAAAAGATTGCTAGTGTTAGTGCTATAAGAAAGAAGAAGTGCGTGTTGCTTGTCTATATACTGTACAGTACATAGTCACTTAAAATACAATTGACATGCTGAAGAAATGAGTCAACTGTCTTTTTTACACCTTCAGAAAAAACGGTTTGAGTAAATAATATTGTTAAAACTAACATTGTCAAAGAAAAAGTTATTAAGCTTGATTTGCAACTTCTTTTCATTTTTTTCCCTTTCTTTTTGCAAATGATGTTTAACAATTTTACATTAAAAATTTATAGTTTATGTATTAAATATATCATTAACTAATTTGCATGTTAAAAATGAATTAACATATTAGATCAAACATTTAATAATTAAAAATCTACATTCAATTTAAAATTTATAGATCATTGTTATCAAAAATTATCGAAGGTATGCAAGTCTGCATTAAATGAAAAAAAATGTAAAATTTAAAACTATTTTATAAAAGTTTATTAATTTACATATTAATTAGTGAGTGATATGTAATGGAAAAAAATGATTGCGTTAATCTTCTCAATTATGATATTAAGATCAATTAGAAATAGATTAACATTACCAGTTTCTATACGATAGGCTATATTATTTATTTAATTACCGTGATATTTATTTTCTCTTTGAATTTCTTATTTGAAAGCAGAAAAAAGATTAATTTTAAAAAAGATAATTCTATGATAAATATGATAAATCTGCATTCTTCGAGGGAAACATTATAAAGAGAAACTTATTTTTGATAGATTGATGAGTTGCAAGATATTGTTCTTGAAAAGCGTCACGGTTGTCAGCACGAATGTATCGTCACATTTACGGTGTCTTCACATTGAATATCATGTGTTCTGAATTTGTGCGTTGATGACTTAAGCACATTTTTGTTGTCACGCTAGCAAATCTCCTCTGGAATATTAATTTCAAAAATAACTCCCATGTATAAAAATAAAAGTAGTGTTAATAGATTTTTTCCTCAACTACACGTAAAAAATAGAATAACATTTTCTATTCATATTTTTTTTGCAGTGTTTATCGTTGTCTTCACAATATAAAATTGCTCTTTACGCTTTCATATTCCTATTTAGTAAAGAAATTCGATACTTTTATAAGTACAGTACAGTACATACGCAACATAAATTTTTCTATAATGTTTAAATTTCATTAAAATAAATCTATGTCGGAAAATAATTACTGAAAATTTATTAGTTTGTATCATAAAGAAATGTCTTTCCCATAAATATTTATTAAATATAACAACTTAGTATTAACATGAAATCTATAATATCATTTTTTTACTAAAATCCATAACGTATTAGATTTATTTGCTAATGACGCTAAAGTATAACTTCAGCGTCATTAATATTAACAATATTATGTAGCGAATGAATCATTGTTACATTAAACCTAGTTGAAATACGCTATATTTATTTGTTTATTATTCGTTTATACATGTAAAACGATAATGAATATATTTGTTCAATGTTTGGTCTGTTGATTAATACCGTAGAGCTCTCATTTTAATGCTCTTAAGGTAAACAAAGTTTTTAAATGTTATATTTACAATATTTTATTTTATTGAAGTAGTTAAAAATTAAATTTATTTACCTGTTTTCATTATTTTTTTCAGACATGCCATATAATATATAATTATAAATTTACATAAACAAGAACTTGTACGCTAGACATGTTATACTTTAATATATTTTTAAGCATTTAGAATACACCATTTTAATGTATGCTATTAATTGAAATCTAATAGCACACATTCAACATTATAAAAATATAAAGTGTAATGTAGACAGAATGTAAGTCTAGTTTAGTTTTAAAGGTATAGTGCAACATTAAGCTTATTCTTATCTGATCTTAGTTCTAGCTAGAAAGATGATATCCATACAGCTGTCGTAGTTCAGTCCTTATAACGGTAAATTGGTTGTGGGTGTTATATGAAACATTATTCTTAATAGTTCTTATTAAATCTGTTTAAATTTAGGTTTTGCCATTTTGCAATCGGGTTTAGTAACGCTCTCGCTATTAACCAGAAATAAAAAAAGCTCTCGTTAATTTAGAAACATAAAGCGTGGCAGATGT